TTTCCTGAGGAGCCTGGGAATTACCTGTGTGTTCCTTCCTCCTGCCTTCCCAAACCCGGTGCCAGCAACATTCCTGCTGTGTTTTGCCTCCCTCCTGGAAAGGGAAAAGCCCCAAACGTGCCAGTGAGAAATATCCATATGTTTATTTTTCATAGGAATGTTGTTTGATGGAAAGGATGGATTGGGCTGTGCCTGTCTCCCCTTGGAGCCTTGGTGGGGCTGGTGCCAGTGGTGGTTTCCTGCTCCCTGCCACGATGCTCCTGGTGATCCAGCCGTGCTGGATTGACTGGGGTGGGCATCCCAACATCCCTGGATTGGAAGGGCTGCAGGATTCTTTCCTGTCATTCCTGTTATTTAAGGGTTTGGGGTGTTTTTTGGTGAATTTACCTCCCTCCTGGTGTGCCAGACAGGGGGGTCTGGGTGTGCTGGGTGCTGCCAGCTCAGGACAACGCTGCACGTTTTGGCACTTCCAAGGATCTCTGGCAGCTCCCAGGGGAGCCCCCGGGGCTGGGGCAGCTCCAGTGTCACCCCCCAGGACACCCTGGCTGTGCCCACGCTCCTGTGCCACAGCAGGAGGTGATTTATTCCTCCTGCCCTCGCAGCCCCTTGGCAGAGCTGGTGATTAAAGCTGCTGTTTGCAATTTTCAGGAGTTATGAGTTATCTGAGTGGCTGATAATTAGCACTGAATAAAATGTACTTGCAATAATGCGACATTAGTTACAGATAAACTGATACCAGGCTTCCCTAATATTCACTTAAGCTTCCCTGGTTGGAGTTATTAGGGAAGTCTCTGGCTGCTGTGCTGCTGCACTGCTGGGGTGGGGAAGGATAAAGCCTGATGGGATCTGCTCACAGGGAGCTGCCAGAGCAGATCTGCCATGAAAACACTGGAATTTTTTTTCTGTGGATGCACCTTTCCTTCCCAGTTCCTGGTGGTCCAGGACATACTGGGTGTCCCAAGGCTTATTCCCAATTTATGCAGGAATCTGTGTGAGCAAAGGGGTTTGGGTGCTGCTGGTGGGACCCAGCTGAGGCTGGGAGGTTTGGCTGTGCTGTGTGGGAGTCAGGGCTGCTGGGCACTGTGGGAGCAGGATTAATGGGTATGAGAGTGTGTCCAGAGCTGCATGGTGGTTGCTATTAATCATAAATGTGACTGCACCCACTTCAGCACCGAGAGGGGCCTTTTTACTGCTGGGAGTGTTTGAGGCTGCACTTGAGTTGTTGATTTTAGCAATTCGAGCGAGGGGTTGCTGGTGATCCGTGGAGAGGAGCTGCAATCCAAGTCCACTTAAATCCATGCCTGCTGACTCCTTCCCTTAACCCATCCCTTTGTGCTCGTTAATATTTGTCAACATTAACCAAAACCAAGCTTTTTTATTTTTTCCCCTAGAAGATGTGGAAGGCTCATTGTTTTTCTGTGTGTCCCTCTGTGTCCCTCCATGGGCTCTGGGAGTGATGTGACCATCTGAGGTCTCAAGGAGTGAAACCAGAGTGTGCTGAGGGAGGGTGGGGGATGCTCTCCATTGCTTCACATTCCTCAGCTCTGCTGCTGGCACCGGGATTCATGGCTGGCACCGGGATTTGGATCCCTTGGAAGCATCGAGCCCTTGATATGTCATTTTAAATAACAGAATCCCAGCCTGTTGGTTTACATGTTGGTGGGTGCTCTCTGATAACTAAGTGAGCTCTCTACCCACTCCTATTTCATGTTTTTAACATAAATCTGTTGATCTAACCTGGAAAATCCAGGGAGTTGCTGCTCTGTGCCTCTGTCTCCATCCCCAGAGATGTTGGCTCAGTGCAGAAGTGCAGGAGCAGCAAAGCCAAGTGAGTGGCAGCACTGACCCACCCTTTTCTCTTTCTCTGGTCCCTGCTCTGTTATCACTGTCTCTCTCTTATTAAGTGTGAAATAGGAGCCTCTGGGTACCATCAAACCATGGCTTATTATTGTCTCTTATCGTCTCTGTGTCTGCTCTGGGACAACTTAGGAATAGTTTTTAGTATTTTTAAAGAAAGTAGCAACGTTTATTCTGTTTTTCTCTTTCCCCTTGTGGTACTTTTTGCCATCAGTTGATGCATCTTTGTTTCCTGTGGCTTTGTGGAGCCTGTGCCAGGGTATTTGCTGGGTTAAGATACTGCACAGGAAGAGCAGCAACACCTCCAGGCCTGGGACCAAGTGACCCACCCAAAATCAGACCATCAGCTTTTATCATCACTATTTCTTTATTAATTTATTCTCCTTCATTGCTCAGGTGGAGAAGAGCAGATTATTTCTCAAAGGCATCACTCACTCTTCAATTCTTTTTAAGATTGGCTTCAGATCAATTTAAAACTTGTGCAAGAGGCTGCTGGGCAGGGGGATGTGATCCAAAATCCTTGCTTTACCCAAAAGCATACCTATTTTTTTTTAATCTAAAAGGATACCCATTTTTTATCTAAAAGGATACCTTTTTTTCTACATAAAGGACACCTTGTTTTCTCATTTGCTTTTCCACGCAGGGCCAGGATAATCCAACAGTTTCTCTCCACGAGCAGACAAGTGCAGTGGGGACTCCCACATCCCAGAATAGTTTTCCTCCAAGTTCTTCCTGCCCAAATCTCTCACTGCCTCTCGCTTTTCGAAATAATCAACCCCCGTGGTTCCTGCACTTAACGCTAATTACTGGCACGAACTAATTAATGCGAGCTGACTTCCCTCTCCTCTTTCTAATGCTGTTTTAACCCACTGACACGTTCCAATTAAGGGCCTCATGCAGGGCCCGGGCTGGAATGACTGGGAGCAATCCCAGTCGGAGTCAGTCGTGTGCTTTCCTGAAGGTCACTGATATTTTGATGAGCTGCTGCTGTCGTGTGTTTGTGCCTGTCAGCAGGGAGGTGACCTGACCCTGCGAAAAACAGCTGAAACACCCCTGAGTGAGCCTCCCTTTCGGTGGCAAATGGAGGACTGGGGGTGTCATTTTGATAAGAGTTTGATGTGCTGGGAATGGTGGCACGGAAAATCCCCGTGGGGGGCTGTTGAGCGGGGCTGCAGAGCGTGGGGGGAGTGCTGCTGACCTCACAAGGGCCTGGCTGGGTCGCTGTGGATGGGGACAGAGGGCAGCTGCCCCGTGTCACCTGCCTGCTCCTGCCTGGGCAGGGGTTTCCCTCCCTCCCCCTGGCTGGGTGGCTGTGACAGTGTCCTGGCCGTGCCCTGGGCTCGCTGCCCTGCCCGTGCTGACACGCTCTGGCTGGGCAGCAGCTGTGTTTGGGCTGGAGCAAAGCCATGGATCCCGTGGTGGTAAAGCCCACAAAGCTGCTGCCGCGGTGGCTGTGGCTCGTTTGACAACGTGCTGGAATGAGAAATGTGGAAGCAGAGCTGTCTGCTCCAGGAATCCTGGTATTCCCTGTGCCCGAGGAGGCTGGTGGCTGGTGCAGGGCTGGAGGGCCCTGTGCCATGCTCAGAAGTCCTTGATGGGCACTTGAAGTTGAGACTTTACTTCTTCACCTTCCAATTCCCGTCCTTGCTTCTCCTCGGGTTCCTGTTTTCCGGAAAGTTTTTGGTGTTTCTCACTTTCACAGAGGTGAAAAGCCATTTAGCTTTAGCAGGACCAGGCAAGAAAGATGGAAAGAGACTATTTACGATGGCCTGGAGTGACAGGACAAGGGGGAATGGCTTCACGTGGCCACAGGGCAGGGTTAGATGGGATATGGGGAAGGAATTCTTCCCTGGGAGGGTGGGCACAGGTTGCCCAGAGAAGCTGTGGCTGCCCCTGGATCCCTGGAAGTGTCCAAGGCCAGGTTGGACAGGGCTTGGAGCAACCCTGGGCTAGTGGGAGGTGTCCCTGCCCATGGCAGAGGTGGGATGAGATGATCTTTAAGATTTCCAACCATGATTCTGTGACTCTCCTTGTGTAAGGAGACCGTGCTGCAGAAGTGCCAGCAGCAGGATGAGCCCCTGAGCTTCCATTCTCAGCCTCTCCTTGCCCTTGTCCAAGTCAGGTTGTGATGGGAAGCTCCACTCTTCCCTCCCTGTGTCACATCATCCAGGTTTTGCTGGAAAACCGCCCTGTTCCTGCCTGTTCTCCCAGCCACTGCCCGGGATTTCGGGTGCAGAGCTGCAGGTGTGTCCCCTGGGCAGGTGTGCTGGGAGGGAGGGGGGTCTCCCATCTCCCAGAGGGATTTAAACACGAGCTCCTCATCCTGTAATTGCTGGGTTAGTGGAGGTGAAAGCTGCCTGGCTGAGCTGCAGTGGAGAGCAGACAGCAAATATGTGATTAGTATTAATAGCCCTGGTCAGACCGTATTATGCAAATGAGGGGAGAAGAGACAATTTAGTTATTCATCTTTAACCTTTATTTTTGTTTCATGTGACCTTACCCAGCGAGGCTCCCCTTACCAGCTCTGGCTGTTCAGTGTTTGATGGCTTATTCTGCTGCCATCCATCCAGCAGTGTTCCTGAGGGGTGATTCCAGGTGCAGTGGGGACATCCTGGTGACACCAAGTCACACAACCACTGCCATGGACACGCTCCCTTCTCTCAGCTCTGCTGTTGGGCCTCTAACCCCTTGTTTCCTCCTAGTTTTGTAGCTCCAGGTGGGTTTGAGCATCCTGGGGACATCCAGAAACACCAACCTGGATTCCTTTTTATCAGGAACTGCAGTGCCAGGACAAGGGGGAATGGCTTCCCACTGCTAGAGGGCAGGGTTAGGTGGGATACTGGGAAGGAATTCTTCCCTGGGAGGGTGGGGAGGCCCTGGCACAGGTTGCCCAGAGGAGCTGTGGCTGCCCCTGGATCCCTGGAAGTGTCCAAGGCCAGGCTGGATGGGTTGGAGCAACCTGGGCTAGTGGAAGGTGCCCCTGCCCATGGTAGGGGGTGGCACTGGATGGGCTTTAAGGTCCATTCCAGGATTCCAGGATTCTCCACACCAGTGCCAGAGGGTGGGGCTGGGAGAGGGCTGATGGGCAGCTGTGGGGAAACCCTTGTGCCTCTTGGAGAACCCTTGTGCCTCTTGCCTTGCAGGGTTTCAGTGGCCCTTCCCACGCCGCCCTGGCCTTGAGCTGCGACCCCCGAGCCGCGAAGGAGAAGCAGGAGCAGGACCCTGCCCGTCCCCTGGACTGTGGGAGCGAGCTGTCCATCCGGATAGGTAGAGCTGGGCTCCATCCAGGCAAGCATCCTGTCATATACCACCTGCAGAGGGCACGGGCAAAGCCCCCCTGGTAAAGTGGCTCCGGGGCCGGCACGTATGTCATCGCCGTTGGATTGGGGTTTGACACGTGCATGCAAAGTGCACCCTCCCTTCCCTCCCTGCCTCTCTCTCCCGCTGCCTCCTATTCCAAGAATTGTTTCTTCGCTTTCCACTTCGGTTCTCAAAGCCACTTGCACGTCTGTCTGTGCCCATGAATTATGGATAATTAGGTATCTCGCTCGCCGAGGAGATGAAATCATCGCCTGCGCTCGGCATCGGTTGATTTGCAGCGTGGGCACAGCCAGTGCTCGCCCTACCCTGGCCAGGCTGTGCCGAGGTGAAGGTGCCCTGTGGCTCTGACCCTCCTTAATTATAGATGAGGACTGGCATTCACGCTGTCAGTCCTTGTTCTGGAGGTTCATAGAATTGTAGCTGCCAGAATGGGGAGGAAAATGTCTCGCTGGCAGCTCTTTTCCCCCTTAATAGATTTTAAAGAGGGAATTTAGGCGGGGTGGTGGGACCTCTTTGGGCTTCCCCAGCTCCGGGGTGTGTTTGTGGGGTGGGTGATGGGGATACATCCCCAGAGACAACACAATTGTCTCTTCCTCTACTTAATAGCAGCTTTCCAGTAGACAAAGAAAATGTAATTTACTGAATTAATCTTATTGCTCCTCTGCTTTTTCTTGCTTGGAGAGCAAGTGAAATAGAGGTTTAAAACATCATGAGCACAATTTGGAGCTGATTGAGATGAAGGAGTGATCCTTCTTTTTACATGGAATAGGACTACCCTCTCAAATCGGCCTCTTTTATTTTAACCACATTGCTTAATTGCATGTTTCCTGAAGTGTTTCAAATCCACAGGATTTGAAATACCAGCTTGAATTTTTCCAAAGGGATGGAAGGATGTTCTGTGCTAAATTCAAGGAGCTTGGGGTCCTCCAGGTCTTTTAGCAGGAGCTGCTCCAGCCCTGTGGCTGTAAGGCTGCTGCAGGGGTTTGGATATTTTTGTAAGGTGGAAGCTTCATATCCCAGGTGCAGTTTAATTTTATTCTTCAAGAAAAAAAAAAAAAGAGAGGCAGTTTTCAGAAACTCGAGCTGCTGAGGTTTTATGTTTTCATCTTCTTTTAGTTGCAGACAATAACAGTGCAAATGGTTTTGGGAATAGAAAATTTCCATTAGACTTGGTTGTTTTTTCCTCTCTCTGGGGAAATGGTATTAAGGACCTACAATACATTAATTCTTTTATTGTCTCTTGCTTTTTTTTTTTATTTCTTGCTACTGAAATGAACTCGGTGTTTTCTCAAGATACCTCAAGCCTTTCAAGGAAGCTGCTTTCCCCAGAGCTGGGTAGTGCTTGGCTGGGCTCTGGGGAACTCTGGAAACATAATGGGTGTTTTCAAAGTCTAATGGGTACTAAGTGGAATATTTCAGACTTAATCACTGTTGAATCGTTGACCCTTCCTTCATATTTACATGTTTTTCAATCGCTAAAGCTGTGAAAACAAAGGGAAATCCCAAAGCAGCCGCTGCCTTGTTCTGCCTTTGTCTTTATAGCCCGGGGATGGGGATGGCTGGAGAAGATGGAAAGCTGGGGTTCCCCAGGGCCCCGTGTCTGAGGAGTTACTGTTAGAGATGGAAATGCACATTTAAGGCGGCTGGGAGAGCTGGGGAGCAGCAGTGACTCTGCACACGGGATCCTTGTAGCCGGGAGCAAGCAAGAAGGTTTCTTTTAGACCTAGAGAAAAGGAGGTGGAGGAAAGGTGGTAGTTAGATCTGTCCCTCATCTGTTCTGGTAGGAGGAAAAAACAATCTTATTCTGCTTTTTCTCCCAGTCAGCAGCAGTTGCTCCAGGTTGGAGCAGCCTGGGCTGGTGGAAGCTGTCCCTGCCTGTGGCAGGGGGGTGGAAGGAAGATGAGGCCTTTATGTTCTTTCCAGACCCAAACATTCTGTGACTTCTTCTTCCCACCCATCTTGAATCCTGGGTTTTCCCAATCACTTGCAAGTGTGTTTTTTTTGGGGGGAGACGGGAAGTCACGGGACACCTGGACAGGGATTGGAGCCCTGCGCTCTCTCTTCTCTCTCCCCAGGCTGGGGCTCTGCTCCCTCGTGCCTCCAGCCCCTCTCCAGCCCGTGCTGAATCAAAATGTGACTTTTCTGGGAGCTCCTAGAAGCTGGCTGTGCCTGGTGGATGTGTGGAGTAGGGTGTGTGTAGCCACGTGAAACGGAGTAGGGGTGGATTCGCTGTGAATGGCAGTGAAAAGTCTGTGTCTAGACGTGGTGTTTGATGAGTGGGATAATCACTAGGCTTTAATTACTCCCACGAAAAGAGAAGAGAATCCAGCCTTGTCTCTAATATAGTCTGGGTAAGGCAAGGGATGTAATCTGTATTTCTCTGCCTTTAGACGTGGTTTTGGGGATGGAGCTGGGGATGTTTGTTGTTGCTGTGGGTGCCGGTGGAGCTCTGTCCGGTGCCACCGAGTGCCCCCGAGTGCCCTCCTGCCCTGAGGACCAGGGGGTGGGTGCCCTGCTCCCTAAAGCTCCCTGGGCAGCCCCAGGGCTCGGGGCAGCTCAGCCTGCCTGTGTTTCCAGACCCTAAACCCCGAGGACACCCTGGGCAGGGTGCCCTGGGCTGGCGGCCGGGCCCGACCCCCGGCTCGCCTGGCGCTGTTCCCTGGGAGTTCCCAGAAGGGATTTGCATCCAGCCCTGGAACCTGAGCTGTGACTCATGCCCGTGGAGCTGTATATGGAACAGCCAGGCGTGCTGGGGCCTCGGCAGTGCTGGTGCTCAGTGATTCACGGCGCTCCCAATCCAGTGAGGGAGCCGAGTGGGAGCACACGGTGATATCCCCGATATTCCCGATATTCCCCAGCTGCTGCCTCTGCTCCCCCACCCAGCCCCGCTGCCCCTGGGACATCTCTGCCCGAGGTGCTGGGGCAGAGGAGGTCACAGCAGAAATGTGGCTGTGAAGTGCCAGGACTAAAATCCCAAATGCCCCTCTGGTGCCCAGCTGGAGGTCGGCTCAGCTCCGGCCCCAGGGAGGTGGGAGGAGGAGGAGTTTCGGAGCTGGCTGCTCTCCCAAACTGCAAATCCTGGATATCCAGCAGCATCCCTGCTGCTCCTCAGCCATCCCAGAGACATGGGTGTGTCTGGGGCTTGGAGAGACTGTTTACAAGGACCTGGAGTGCTAGGACAAGGGGGAATGGCTTCCCTCTGCCAGAGGGCAGGGTTAGATGGGATAGTGGGAAGAAATTCTTCCCTGTGAGGGTGGGGAGGCCCTGGCACAGGTTGCCCAGAGGAGCTGTGGCTGGCCCTGGATCCCTGGAAGTGTCCAAGGCCAGGTTGGATGGGGCTTGGAGCAACCTGGGCTAGTGGAAGGTATCCCTGCCCATGGCAGGGGGTGGGATGGATGATCTTTAAGGTCCCTTCCAACCCAAACCATTCCATGCTAGTGCCAAGGGGATGTGATGTGCTTCTGGTGTTGTGCTGCTGGTGCTGGGAAGTCACTGATATTCCTGAAGGGAATCAGGGTTTATTTCAGTGCCCCTTCAAAGGAAGTTTCTGTGCTCCAGGGCTGCCCAGGAGGGGAATGGGCTGCACAGGAGAGGAAGCAGAACCTGCTCATGGAGCTTCTCTTTCATCAGTTCAGCAGTTCAGGGCCTGGGAAGCAGGAATGTGTGCTGGAAGGGAGGAAGGGAACTGGGGGAGATACAAGAGGAGGCAAAACCCCTCAGGGATCAATACAGAGAGAGGGCCTGAGCTGAGTTTTGGGGTTGGCACTGATGCTCAGGCAGCATATCCGTGTGCTTTGTCCTTGGAGCCAAGAAATCCCCCTTTTTTTTCCCCTGTTACTGCTGGGTGGACCATCTGGTTTCTGAAAGTCCAGCCTTGTCCCAGCTTTTTGGGCTGCCCTGATCCGTTCTGTCCCCCGGTGCCAGTGGGAAAACCTCCATGGCAATGCCCAGCTCCCACCACAGGAGAACAAGCAGGTTGCTGGTGCTCACCCCATAAATTTTCTGCTCGTTCCCCCCCTCCCCTGAGCAGGAGCAGTGGCTGGGAGGGAGGGAGGGATGATGGATAAAACCTCTCCAGCCGTGATTGATCGGGGTAGTTCAGCCGGAGCCTCCCGTGTGCATCCCAAAGGTTCATTAAGTCATTGCAACTTATATAACATGGAGCTCCTTCTGCAAAACGAGATGTTCAGCACTTTGAGATGATTCCCACACTGTTTATAACGGCGCTGACACATTCACACTGTGCTTGATCCAGGAAAGTGCTGCTTTCAGAAGCCATCAATTCACTGGGAGGCTTCCTGGCCAGCCTGGCTGATGAATGCCTGTGGCAATGTCTGTATTGATTAAAAAACATCCTTCCTGAAGCGTTTCAAATGGTTATTGACCATCCTTGTCAGGCTGGGATCTGTGCTTGGCTTTTATAGTCGTGACTGAGCGTGGATTTATATAGGCAGAGCTTCAGAATAATAAATGGAATGGGGGCCTGTAATCCTTCTGGGAGTGAGGCAATGCCTTCTCAGTCACAGACCTGTGCCCCCATCAGTCCAGGCACAGCCTCGCTCCTTGGATTAGGAATTTGGCTTTACAGGGTTAAACTGAACCTGGTGTTTGCTGTCCTTTGCACAGGAGTGTTTGGTGGCAGATGGATGAGTGTCCTGGTGCCTGTGCAGGAGGGGCAGCTCCTGGGGGGACATTCCCAGCCCATGCCATGCCCTGTGGATGCCAGGGATGCAGGGATTGTGCTCTGTGTGTTCTTGCTGCTCCTCTGTGCTCTCCTTTGATTCCAGGGTGATTTGTTAGTCCAGCAGGTTTATTAAAGCCTGGTGAGGGATGTGCTGGTGAGGCCCCACGCTCCAGAGCCAGGTCTGGAAGTCTGGAAGCTGCAGGGAGGGTTTTTTGTGGTGCTTGTGGCCATTCATCAGAAGAATGATTTCCCAAATGGAGCCTTGTTAATTGGGGGAGTGTTA